ATAAATAAAACGTTTATATTGTGGCATTTAACACACTTGTACTTCAAGCGAACCATGTTGTAGATAATATTGATACAATGGTAAAAAATATGAACAAAAAAACTCAACTTACTCAGAGCTCGTAGAAAAGGTTTCATAGACATGGAAAAAGAAAATGATTATTCAGAATCATATTCTGTAGGAAATTATTAAATACTAAATTTCTTTTGCATTTTTCTTTATTTTTTAGAATGTGAACAACTCTCAAGATCTCTCAATTTTCAGAATTTTCAATTTTCAGAATTCAGATCCGCATATAGTTCAAAAGCTTTAAATTTTCAGGATTTGTTTATTTTAAGGTAGTACCTGTATTGAAAATATGTATTTCTTTATCACCTTTTAGTCAAATTTTTGGATTATTCACTAATTCAGGAGCCATAATGAAAGGACATAAAAATATAAAATGATCCTGATTCAGGCACTTTTTCAATGTGTTTTCTCCAATTTGTAATTTTTTTAGCTTGATAGCATGAGTACTATTAAAGCATCAGTTGTTTTAAACAACTCAATTTTTTTGTATTTTTATGCTGGTTCAGCATTTTAAAATTGTTTTTTTTATTTTTAAAAAGTTTTTATTGTTACAGTAACATTTATTGTTCAGATTTTATTTAAAAATAAAATCATGAATATTAAAGATTTTAGTTTTTTTACGATGGATCCATGGATACCATGCGTATCATAACTAAAAATGTAGTGGTCATCAAAAAACAATGTCTTGTTTGCAAAAAAATTTGCATTTTACCGGTTCGCAGTTCGGATTTTACTAAATAATAGGGAAAGGGACATTTTTAAATGTCTATTAAATTAGGCTACAAGTTATTGAAATCTGCATAACGTTGATTGAACATGGGGAAACTATTTCGGATAACTTTTAAATTACAAACATTTTAACTTAAATTTCACTAATGTTGCATCGTCTCCTATAACTAGTGAGATGAGTTATCGTCCTTTTCCTTGCAATGTACATGTGTCTGTTGAATCTGCTATTATAAAATATGCAAACCATCCCAGTATTATAAACATTAAAAAACAAATTCAAATTATATCCTCAAAATTTTAAATTTTATCAAATTACGCCTGATGTTTACAACGTTTATGTTAAAAACTTATGTCACGAATTTGAGAGAAAGCCTCACTTCTTGTATAAATAATTGCATATCTTAAGGCGAATTCCCGTCCCTCTTAAAAATGACCGATGCCATACCATGTTTTAAAAAAAATGACCCTACTGATAAGTGTAACTTCAGCCCAACAAGTTTTCTGCCAGTTCTCTCAAAAGTGTTTGAAATACGGGTTTTTATTTTGGAGAGGGTATAGTGCACAGCACGCACTTTTTAATTTAGTTAATAAGTGGCAAGAAAACTTGGATAAAGGAAGTATAGTTAGCCCTATGCTTATGGATTTATCAAAGGCATATGATTCAATTCCACATGATTTGCTAATAGCTAAGTTGGAAGGTTATGGATTTTCTTACGATAGTCTCAAACTCTTACTATCTTACCTTTCTGCTCGCAAACAGAGGGTAAGGCTAGGATTGTCATTTTCTGAATATTTAGATATGGAATCTGGTGTACCTCAAGGCTCAATTTTGGGACCAATTTTCTTAAATATTTTTATCAACAATTTTTTCTTATTTATAAAAGACTCTGAAATCTGCAACTATGGTGATGACAACACTTTTTCCGTTTGTGACAAAAACCTAGAGAGTGTTATTGTTCGTCTTCAGATAGAAACATCAAACGCGATTTCAAGGTTTACTTTGAATAAAATGGTTGCAAATCCGGACAAACTTCAATTTTTTTTAGCTGACTCAAAGAATTGTAAAGATCAATTTTTAATGGTTGGAAATGTAACAATCATGGTTTCTTCTATGGTTAAACTTCTCGGGGTTACAACTGATAAGGATTTAAAATTTGATGATCATATTTAAAGTCTGCGTGGAAAAGCGAATAGTAAATGCTTTGCTTTTGCACGAATAAGGAGCTTCTAATAAGTAAAACAAGCAACTGTTTTATTCAATACTTTTATACTGTCAAATTTTTCTATTGTCCTATGATTTGGATGTTTCGTTCGAAGTAAAATAATAACCTAATTAATAAAATTCATCAAAAAGAACTATGCATTGTCTATAAAAGATTTGATCTCCCAATAGAAATTTAAGGTTTTTGTTAACTGAAGTTTTTAAATCTATAAATGGTTTATGGTTTAAATCCAGATTTTATAATAGACCTTTTTTTCAAAAAATCCCGTTAAGTCTTTGATGTAGTAAAATATTAGTACTCCTACCCATAGTCTCTAAACTAAGTTCATAAAAAGTAACTTAGCAATCTCCCTATGGAACTCCCTAGACAATGAAACTATGTCAACAAATTGTCTAAAGATGTTCAAAAAATGTATTTTAAAATGGAACGGAAAAACTTGTTTTTGTAAAATCTGACAAAAATAACTTTTTTTATTTTTTATTTTTTACGTCGAAAATAACCAACTTGATGTTTTTATTGACATTTATATTATTTACTATGTAAGCTATTTTTATTTTATTTTATTTATTTTTTATTCACGATATGTATGTTTGTTTGAATTGTCTTATAGAGTTTAGTGTGTTGATTTTAATTAGTTTTTGTTGATTATAAAACTATTGTAAACAATCAACTGAAAATAAAGTATTAAATAAATAAATAAAAAAGTGATTTTAAGAAGTACAAAGAATCATAGAGCAAAATTCAGAAGTCGTGTTATGATGGCATAGAGAAAGCAGACAGATATCGCATTAGATGTTAGATTTTAATTTCAATAAGATTCATTTTAACATTATTAAAGTTTTTTATTGCATTTAAAAAAAAAAAAAAAGCGCGACTCTTTACTTAATAAACTTGATTATAAAAACTTGGCTTAAAAATGTGCATTTTTTCCTTGTGGGTCTTAGATTTTATATTTTAATTGAAATAACGTTTTTAAAATTATACTACCTTGTTTGACTTTTATCATCTACACATCATATATAGTTCGTGTTAACTGGCCATTATACACAGCAGTCGTATCGCTTTAGCTTACGTGATGTTCAAGATGAAAGGTATTTCTTTTGTATTTCTTAATTTATATTTTTAAATAAACACACGCACGCTAAATATACTCTAGTGAACCTTACGTTAAGTGTCCCGGAGCTATTGGCTAAATATGCCCATTACATACGGTACAAATTTAAAACACCTCTTAGTCAATGAGTTTGTTTTTAAACAGTATTCTATCCACAAAATACAAGTTTAAAACATCTCCAAATTTAATGAGTTTGTTTTAACAGTATTACTTCTATCCATTTAACACAAAATGCAATGAGCTCCTGATAAAGCTAATAATATTTAAAAGTTTAATGGTTACAGATATGTCTGCATAATAGCTAAGGCTTATGCTTTCAATTTCGTTTGTGGAATATATTTTTGTATACAATATAGAGACACAAAGTTTTTATATTTTACTAAGAGTTGCGTACTGTTATTATTATTTAATGCTGCAAGGCATTCCATATTTGTTTGCTGCTAAAATTACATACATTTATTGAGAGTAAACTAACCTTGACCCTAACCTTAATCATAAACCTAACCCATACCACTATGGGCATATACCACCAAATTAGTATTAGAATCATACAATTCAACACCTGATGCTTGCACAGGTTCCATGTTTTTACGGCCTTTTTTTTTATTGGAGGAGTTTTAAGATTAATTTTTGTGAATTAGATCGCATAGTTCCAATTCAGAAAATTAATTCTTTTACTGGCTATCCATCTGACTTTAGGATTTGCTATATCTACAAATTGCTTACCTAATAGGCGCAAATCTTCCACTGAATTAGAATGTTCAACCTTCACTATTAGATAAAGATAAAACAACATGACTATCTAAAGTCTTATATGCTTTTAATAATTAAACTTACTTTAGAGTTTTTAAGTTTCCACCGTGTCTATATTCACACAAGTTTGGATTGTAAGCCTATTTCAGAAATTGTATTATTCATTATTCTACTACGGATATTACAAATTGCAGATTTGTGAGGCATATACCCAGACAGCAAACTTACATTGGACCAACGTTGGGACAATGCATGAGGATGCATTGGCCCAACGTTGAAAATCGATGTTGGCCCAATGCAGGTTTGATCATTGTTTAGGTATTGGCCCAACGTTGTGTACAACATTGGCCCAATGTCGTACACAACGTTTACCCAACATTGGCCCAACGTTGTATATAACGTTAGGCCAATGTTGTATACAACATTGGCCCAACGTTGTATACAACATTGGCCCAACGTTGTATACAACATTGGCCCAACGTTGTATACAAAATTGGCCTAACGTTGTATACAACATTGGCCCAATATCGTATATCGTATATCGGCCTAACGTTTTATGCAACATTAGATCGTTGTTACAAACAAGATGACTTGCATCGCTACATTAAAAATTTATAGAGAAAAAAAAGAATGTATGATACAAGTATAAAAATTTATTTATTTAACATAATTTCTCGGTTAAATATACACATTGCAAACACTAAACTTAAACCAAAAACTGACACATTGAGTTTCAAATAAAAAAAATTCACTATAAAATTTATAGAGTAGTTTCGATATTGGCTGAGCTACTTGTTATTGAATCGTGTTTAGCTTATGATATTTGGTACCCACTATTATTATTTTTTCTTCCACTATCTCTATCACATGTCTGCATAAGCCATGCTTATTTGACTTCACAGTTTCTACAAAAAAAATAGTTGTTTGTTTAATTATGCACCAAAGAAACATAACAAATTGAAATTATTTCTGTAATGCAAAATTGAGACTGAAAAAATAAACTTTTCTAAACCACTTACCAATAGCAACATATGCAATCAACATTTTTCCTATTCCAATTTTTTGTCCTCTCCCTGTATAATTTAATTTTACAGCTATGCCATTTTAAAAAACAATTCTTAGTAAATAACATATACAATCTCCTTTGTCTTTAACTCCAAATTGTGCCAAATAATTGACCTGCAAAAATACACAACCTGGCAATAATTAAAGTAACTTTTGTTTAGACTTAAATTAATATAAAATGTCATTTACAAGAAATCTTCAAAGAGTACTTTATTTAAAGTATATAAGTTGTACTAAGATATCATACAAAATGCTTAAACAGATCATAAAAAAATATTACCTTTGTTACTCAAATTTTTATAACTGAATTTGATGTGTTTTGTATTTCACCAAGTTGCACTTCAATGCTTGCCCATTGTGCCAATAATACCAGCATATCTTTCAAGGATATGCTTTATCTTGAACATTAAAGTTAATTATATTATTAAGAAACTATACAACTAATTACATATTATATTTAGAATTTATGAAAGTAAATACAACAATCACTAATAAAACAGATAAAAATAAAGAAAGAAAGTCAAATTTTTAATGATAAAAATATATACTTGCTAATGGATTCATAATATTTTTATGAATTATGAAATTTGCAGGTGTGCATTTAATTTCTGGCACTGACACAAAACAATTTTCGTTAATGTTTAAGCTTCCACATTAACGAGAATTGTTTTGTGTTTCTTATAAAATACAGATTGCACTGTACAACAAAAAAATTCATATTAAAACAATGTCCAACAGGGTTCGTAGCCAACAATTTATATAAAAATCAATGACTTTTTTGAAAAATCAAATGAATTTCCCTGACCATTTTTAACAATCATTTTTACAAAATGTTTAAAATTACTATCTACTGTAATGGAAATGCTAAGATTGTACATGCTTTCAATGACAAAACTTTTAAAACTTAGCTATTAGTTAAATTGGATATTAGTATGGAGCTTATTATACATGTTAGTATGGATATTATTAGTCATCCTTGACTAAGAACGAACACTAAGAAAAACATAAGTTTCAGAAAAATTAAATGGGTAGCACCAAAAAAAACATAATAGCTTAGTTGATTGCTGTATTTTGAAAATGTGACAAGTCACAAAATTAAAATTTTACAAGAGAATGAAAAACATTTCTCCTGTAAAAAACTTTATTTTTATTTTATCTAAAAATTGTTTCTTTTATCCAAAAAAAATCTTTATTTTATCTTATAATTTGATCTTTTTCTAAAAAAAAATATTCTTTTCAAATAACCTCACTTTCATAAAAAGTGTGGTTATTTGAAATATAAAGTTGTCCAATGTTTGTAAATAATTTTTTTTACATATTTTAATTCTGAATTTTAATAATACAGTTTTTAAAAATAATATCATCTATAAAAATATTGTATTACCTTTGTCTATTATATAAATTTAAATAAACGTTTATATAATGAATAATAATGAACCACCAGCAACTGTTAAAACTTTAAACTGATATGAATACTCTGTTGTTTTTTTCAACAGTTGAATTCAAATAGATTTCAAAGTTGGTGACACCAACTTTGAAATCCAACAAAAAATTTTTGTTACGTTAAATCAACTAGAAAACCTGGCCAGTTTTTCCGTGGTCAGTATTAGAGAGGGATCGCTCTCGCTTCCCGACCAAGCTTTGATATGTTGATTATTACACAATAAAACGTTAATTAACACTATGACTTTTCGACCATAATTTATGAAAAAGTTTTTAAAGTTGTAAAAGCTAAAGCTATGAATAAAGATTTTCAATCATCAGACATAAAGACTTTTATATAAAAACTTACCATTTAATAAATTTGTTCATTCAACTTCTCAGAGCAAACATTGAACTTCTGTAAAGAGTTTGGAGTTACAGGTAAATCCCAAAGTTTAATAACATTTTTTGTTTTATTATAACAAAATGAAGATAAATCATCTACACCAAAATATACACAATTTTTTGTCTCTTTAATCTTTATTTTGATTAGTCATTTTCACTGTCTTCCTTTTTTGTCTCCAGAGCAGAAATTTAGCCTTCTCCTAAATTCAATCTTGTATTGCTTTAAAAATCTATAAATCAAATCATTAATAATTAAGTTATAACTAAAGTTAATGTATAAGCTTAAAGTTGTTAATTGCTGTACGCAAACTAAATATGAAAAATAGCCAAAATTGTTAAATTAAAAAATAATTAAACCTCAGAAACATGGAATATTAGAAAGCTCTACATACGTAGACTATAAGTTCTAGTAACATCACTTTTTGTACACTGTTTTAATATGTTAGTAGATGGAGTTTCTTAATCAAACGCAGAAAAAAATCAAACAAAAGAGACATATTTAAAATGTAAAATATAAGCTTTTAACAACTTCAATGGCATTGAAGTTGACATTGGCATTGACAATGGCATCGACAATGCCACATATATTATTGATACCTTTAATAATATATCTTATAATAGCTATATAATCTAAACTATTATAAACAAATTATGAAAAAAAAACTTATACTGTATGACATTTTAAATATTTGATTTATTTAATAAAGAAGACATTTAAAATGTCTTCTTTATTAAATAAATCGAACATTCGAAATGTTTCATTTATTTAATAAAGATTATTAAATAAATCAAACATTTGAAATGCCAATAAAGTAATAAAAATAAAATAATAAATTTAAGAACTTACACAAAAATAATTTAATTATTGCCTTTATTATTACATTAATAATTTAGATTGTAGTAAAAAATGTTTTAAGCATATTATTTAAATGTTAACAAATATTTTATTATTTAATAAAACAAAACATCAAGTCACGAGAATCTCTTGAAGTTTATTTCTTATAAGGAAGCTTTTAAGATTCTTAGAAGATTAATAAATATAGCTTCTTCTTTTTATAATAAAAAAAAAAAATGAAAACAAAACCTTTTTTTATTCTGTCAAACGATACCATTTTTAAAAATGCTTTTAAAGCATATACTAATCCGCAACTACATTGGCCGAATATTGGCTATGGTATAAGATTTTTATAGCAAAATATTAAGCCTAAACTACATTGGTCAAATATTGGCCCAACGTAGTACGATAATTGCAAAAAACCGATTTGTAGAATTGCAATATTACGCCGAAAAAAAAACATTGGCTAAATGTTGGCCCAATATTCTACGATATTTGCAAAAAACCGACTTGCAAAATTGAAAATAATACGCCGAAAAAAAACATTGGCTAAATGTTGGCCCAACGGAATAAACTTGCCAATGTTAAAACTTACATTGGGCCAATGTAAGCTTGCTGTCTGGGAGGCATTGAGAAAGAAAACTTGCGAAACAAATCATTTCGTAAGAATACTTACGAAATAGTTCCTTAAGAAAGGAGCATTCCGGAATGTGCAGTTACGAAAAAGACGCAAAAGATTTTATGTTACGATATATTTAAGATATTAACTGTTAACAATTTAAATAATAAATAATAAAATTATAAAAAAATTTTGTTAAATGATTCTTCAAGTGTTTATACAAATATATCTAACATATAATGTCAAATTTTATACCCCCCTTCCCTAAAGTAATATTAAAAATATGTGTAAGTACCATTGATTTTTTCTGGTTCAATTATACATTTATATCTCAACATATTATATTATAGAACAGTTGATTACTCATCAAATAGCAAACAAACTATTGAAAATTTTATTCTATATCTCTAATATAAATTCAATCACTCATCGTCTTCCCATGAGTTGAAAATAAAAATGGTAACGTTATAAATAACATCAAAACCATGTGAAGTCTATTTTTGTATATAGTTAGTTTTGTTTATATAAATTTTAAATCTTTTTCAATAAAAATTGTGACTTTAGTTTAAAGTTGTATTGTGACCAAATGTGATCATGATCTCAATACATTCTAACTGATTTAAAAAGTTTTTTATATTCGTTCTGAATAGCTTCTACACGTGGAAGACGATAAAATCTTATTGGTTTCTTAAATGGACATCAGTCTTAACTCCTCCTCCCCATTGTCAATTCTTGTCAAACTTTTCAATACCCCCTTCCCCTTGTATTTACTGACATCATTTATGGATAGCTCTAAAGTTCTACTTATCCATGGACCGACATGACGGAATTCTACTGTATATACTCGTTTTTTTTTTATATATATATAAGCTTAAAGCTTATAGGCTCAGATTTGAAAAAAAAAAAGCATATAGAAGCATATTCCTGATACTCGGTAAAACATTAAAAAAATAATATTATTATTTAATCAAAAATTTTAAATATATATGTTTCTATATTTAAACCAACAAAAACGACAAAAACCGATGTTTATAACAACATTAATTCAGCTACATTAAAACCAAAACAAAAATACAGAGCATAAGTCAACTTTTTATTTTTCTTATACTTAGTAACCTTTAGTAACGCGCACACTTTTCGAAATTATTGAATTAGGTATATTTTATTAGAAATATGCTTAAGCTTAAGCATATTTTTGAGCCTCTTTTAACTTTTTGCTTAAGCATATTCGAACCTGTTTCAAAAATTTCATATGCATAAAAAAAAAAAACATTTATATTCCTCCCCATCATACTTACTTTTACTATACGTAATGAATTCAAAAAACATCATTATATATATTTGTTATGGCGCGTTTCGTAAGTTTGTTTCCGTTAAGAACTCTTTCGTATGTTGTGATGCAAAATACTTTCGTTTCGAAAGAAACTTTGTTTTTTATCAATAGTTCTAAAAATAAAATTAAAAAAATTTAATATTTTCTTATACTGAAAATAAAAATTCATTATAAGCACTTTGGGATTTAAAGATGTTAATTTTTACAATTAAAATCAGTCTGGCAAAGAAATTTTCTTTATAAACTTGAAAAGGTCGTTTGGCGAAAATGCTTGTTTCGCAAGGGCGACTTCCGAAACAGCTACTTTCGTATGTTGAAAAATAGTTTTATTTCGTATGTCAACTTGCGAAACGCTAAATTTCGGAAATAGCATTTGCGAAATGAACAGCGACGATTTTAAATGTTTTGTAATATTCGGTACGAAAAAATGTAGTTCCTCGTTCTCAATCTCCTTACGAAAGAATGTTGTATTTCTGGAATTGCACGAAATCCTCCTGCTAACAACCCTAATTTAAACACCATTAATTGAATTTTGTTAAAAGTTGCACTGACATTATTTGTACAGTAGTCTATTATTATTTACTTGGTCTATTAAATTTTTATTTTAATTCGTAATATTTGTAAATAATTTGTCTTACGAACGGTATATACTTTTAATATTGAATTTAATATTGTAATAATATATATATATATATATATATATATATATATATATATATATATATATATATATATATATATATGTATATATATATATATATACATATATATATATATATATATATATATATATATATATATATATATATATATATATATATATATATATATATATATATATATATATATATATATATATATATATATATATATATATATATATATATATATATATATATATATATATATATATATATATATATGGATGTATCTGCAAATATTGTAAGTATGATACTTCTGGAAGTTAACCATCCTTTGACAGTGGTTTAGCACTTTTGTCGGTGGAAGCGTAAACGTAAACGCACCAACATTTGATAATTTTGGCTTTACACACAGAGAAACCATCTTTTGGCTTTCTAAATTCTTCTACACAATCTTTTGAACAACTTCAAAGTGCATTTGGATGTACCTAGTGCAGTCATATTCTTATTATTTTCGCCTATTTATTAATTTATTTATAATAGGTGATGATCGCTATGATCGCTTGTATGGTAAAGATGCAAACACAATATATACTTAAAAAAAAAAACTGTATTAGAACAAGAGCTAATTATCAACAAGAACAACCCACTCTGATTTTATTTTCTACAATTTTAATGCAAGTAATGTTCAATTCAATTATTTTTATTTTTTTTTAATCTATTTGATTTATATTAACATCACTAACACACTATGATGTCATCAAACACATCAATAAATATACTGAAGTATATTATTTTTAACTATTCATTGCAACCGTTTATATAAATATTTATCGAAACAGATCCAATTCAAAAGCGAATAAACGTTTACAAAAAATCAATAAAAATGAATTCATTTAAAGCGTTTTGATTCCAGCGGTTCTCTACGACAAGACCTCAAGGACTTCTTCGAGTTTCCGCATTCTTTTTTCCTAATTTTTATTGTTATTTTTATTTTTATATTTCTATTGTTAACGAAATCTTTATTGTAAATATTATTTATTTCTTTTTTATGTCTTACGTTTTATTCACATAAAGTTATAATAGAAATTGTAATAATGATTGTAATAAAAAATTAAAAAAAAAAAAAAATCATTAACAATTAAGATTAGTGCAATTGTAAGATACATTTGAGTAACAAGATTCAGTAATCGTATATATGCGAGTAAGATGCGAGACGTGTTCGTTTATCAAGAATATGATGATATTATTGTTTTCGCTTGAGTCATGCGATTCAGAAGAATTAGTATTTTAATTCAAGCCATAAAGACCTTAACTAAAGAAAAATTTAAAATTTGTATTTATTTATTTTTGTTTTTTCTAAAATCTAAATTAAGTTCAAAGTTCTTCAACAGCGGTTCACGGTGACAAGACCTGTATGGTCTTTTTTGAGTATCCACGTTCTTTATCTTTATTCTTTATTTTTTAACGGTTTCTTTGCGTATAATTTTTCTTATTGATATATTTGTAAATATTGTATTAAATATTGTAATAAAGAACAAAAAAAAAAAAAAGAAAAAGAAAAAAAATTTAGAGTTGCCAAAATTTAATTTGCAAAATTAATGGGACATTTTCTTTTTCGTGAAGTTTGTGAAAAGAGTATACTTAACTTTTGGCATAAGTTTTATTAGAAAATGATAAGTATATATAGTATATGTATATACGTGTAATTCGTTGGCAATGTTAGTAATGCTTAAGTACTTGAGGCAAAAATCGATCCGTTAGCTATTTTTTTCATTAGCAAAAATTTCAATTGCTTTAAAGCCGGAACGCACATTGTCACAGAAAAAGCCCCAACGGACATTTGTTGGTTTAAAATTGGTTTAGATCACGTTTAGATGGCATTTACGTCGATCTAAACGTTTAGGAATCTAATCTAAACGTGTTCTGAATATTTAATTTGCGTTGAAAAGCTAAATCAAACAATTTCCGTACGGAACTAACTAAATTAAATTAGTTTCTTACAAAATGTGTCGGACATTTTCAATCTTTCATTATGATTAAAAATTAGAGTTTCTTATTAATCTTAAATTATGTAATAAAGGTTTAGAAAAAATAAAAGAAATTTGTTTTTAGTATTATATTGTGGCTAATGAAGGAGTTAAAAAGTCCTGTAAGTTCTTCGATAATATTGTATGAGCGATTAAAAGTAATTTTAAGTACAGTAACAATATATTTTGATAATTCTTTTTTTTAGTTATAGCTACTAAAATAGCAGTTTCAAAAAAGTAGCAGTAGTTTCAAAAAAGTAGCAATTTCAGCATCTTTTTAAACTATTTCTTAAATTGTTTTTTCTGTTTGGTTTTTAACAACGCTAAAATATAACTTAAAATACATAAATTTTCTCTAAAAGTTTTAGAGGAAAATTATGCATTTTCCTTTAAAACTTTTAAGTCGTAGCTACTTTTTAAATAACTAAATAAAATTATTATTTTTTGTTTATATTAAGACCTAACATCTATTTGTTTATGATAGATGTTATACTGATCGAGTAGCAATGTTATAATATTTATACTTTTAGTGCAGTCAGTGCCAATTAAAAAATGTGAGGTTGAAATATTTATATAATGGATCTTCAGTTTTAGTGAAGGCTTTTAATGTAAACTAAAAAATATTTATAAAAATTTAAGTATTATTCATACTCCTATATGATAACCACTAAAATGAAAATAAATTTACTTATGTCTGATATGATTATTATATTGTATCATTTATTTTCTCTTTAGTAGAAAAGTTAACATGGTTTAAACAATAATATATATAGCTGTATTACATAATTTTCTGAAATCCGCATAAATATATTTTTTATTGTTAAGTTTTGTGTGTTTAATTTCATTTAATATTTTATATACAGTCCAGTCAGTTGCAACAACAATTAAAGCAGCAGGAATCAGCCAAGTACACATGCAAGTGGTAAGTTGATTTTTTGTGACGTTTTTACTCCTTTAAAATTTAGATTTTCCTAAAATAATAATTAAGTTAATGGCTATTTCTGTAAAGATTCTGTAAATAAAAACTGCAGTGATTTTTAAAACTAATAGTTATTCTTTTAGTAATCACAAGATAAAGTGCTAACTCTGTACTTTAATTCTAATAGTTGAACATCTGTCAGATATTTACCTTTTAAATCATAATCTAATTGCTCAAGCTTCTGAAAACCTATTTATAAAAATTCAACGCTTAAAAATTAATGTAAGATTAAAGCTAATTCCTGTTATATTTAAAAGGTAAATTGATGATTGGTTTGAGTCTTTAAAGTTTAAATTAGTTAAAAGAGAGTTCAAATTGTTTAGTTTTTATCTTATGCTCTATATCTAAAAGCTATTGAAATATTTATAGCATTATTTTTATTTTATTTTATTATGTTATGAAAGACCTACCAAGCTTGAAGTTTTAACGGGTTGAAATATATAGTATGTATAAGTATATCATCCCTCGGAACTAGGAAAACTAAAGTCTGCAAAAAAAGCTAAAAAACTAGACGACTAAACTTATTTAAAACGCTTTTAACAAGTTTAGTTACAAGTTAATGTTATGTGTTAATGTACCTTCAACCAAATTAGTGTTAACATTTTAGCAAAATGTCGTCAGTCTGTTGGAAGAACCAAAAGCTTGATATTTTATTGAATTGTTATTTTAGTTTGTGATATTATAATTTTTATTCACAAAATGTTAAATAATTTACTTTTTAAATTTATTTGTCATTGCTTTGGATAAGATGTTTTGTTATTCCTTTTACAGATCGTTATGAGGATTGCAAAACTTTTAAATATCAGAAACTGAAGAAAGCATTGATAATCAGCAGATATCAAAAAAGCGCAAAAGTACTGATTTTACAACTCTTTTAAAGGTTTCATTTTAATTTGTTATTGTTTATATAGAAACTAATAATATATAAACTGAAAAGAATAACATATAATTAATCCATAATTGTGCATTATTCTAATCTAAATTATTATTTTTTTCAATATCTTCAGAGTTAATATTACTAGTTTAATCATGGAAGTATAAAACAGATGGAAGTTTATCGAGCCGCAAACATCAAAGCGATTTCAAGTCGTCTCGGGAGTATGCTTGTAACAGACAATAAAAAAAAAACAAGCTTCACTGGATAAAAAAACAACAAAATTCACTGAAATGATCTTTATTAAAACATTAAAAATTGAATCATTCTAGGGATATGCTGCAAATTTTTAACCATTAGTTATTGCAATTATTCAACAAAAGGTTTATAAAAACTCGGTAATTAAATAGAACCACTTGATTTTAAAAGCATACGTTAGTTTAAGCTTCTTTTCTTGCTTCAAGTCATAACACGACATTTGATAAAAAAGACAACTAAAACAATTTTTAAAAAATCAAAAAAATTGTTTTTTAAATAACTTAAGTTTAAAGTTTTATTAGATGTATACCATAACTCCATTCATTCTTGTAGTACTCCATTCATTTAATATAAAGTTTATATAAAAATTGTTGTTTGCCGTTACGTTGCGCCATTTTTAATGTTTTTCTTGAATATTATTGGCGAACCTTTGAAACACTATATTTTTAAACTATTATAAACGTATCTATTTGCGTCAACGTATAACGATTAAGCGTTTAAGTACAGTCTTGATGTCGTTTTCTTATTGTTTACGAAACAAAAGGTTACAAGCATAGTCCCGAAGAATTTCAAAGCGGTTGAACTTCCATCTGTTTTATACTTCCATGGTTTAATGCAACTACAGTAGAAATGGTTAATTATGGAAAAAACTGCACTAAAAATTGAATAAATCGCTTGTTAAAGCAAATAATATTATATATATATATATACAGGCCTTGCGATAAAGCGTCGGGCGATCTGAATTTTAAGTCGTCCAAGAGTGATTTTGCGTGTATATTTATACGTCGAGCAAAAAAATTTTTGTTTGAGTATATTTGAAGATATTTTTGAGTGGACTTTTAATGAAGTAATTTATTATAATTTTAACATTTAATAAAGTATTTTATAAAACGCACGCAGTTGATACAAAAGTTTGATTTACAAAAAAAAAAGTATAAATGGGTTTAAAAAAGTTTAAGGTAACATTTTAATAAAATTATTCAGCAATAGCAAAGTTGTCAATAAAATTGAACAAAAATACTTTCTTTTAGTTTTAGATATTTAAAGGGATCCAAACTCCCAACACATGTTGTGTTCATATTAAAGATAATGTTAAAAAAAAAGGTTTGAACCAAATTTTTTTTGATTAAAAATAAATAATGAATGCAACCGTGAAAAAACAAATGTTGTTGTTTTTGCCGAAGCTCGCCTTCTCCATTTTTTTTAACTGCTAGGAGTCTTTAAATTATGCGTCGCAATCTACAGACTTTGGCAATTCCTTTGAAGCGCGTTTCATTCATAAAAGTTTTAGTATTTGACGTCACGGTAGACTTTGAAACAAAAGAAACTCTGGAAATATTTTTATTTATTTTTAGTCGAAGTTTTTTTGGTTATCTGTTTAGTTTTTTTTTTTTTCTACTTTTAATATTTAAAAAGATATTAAAAACCTTAAATATTTTATGCTGGTTCGTTGCTATAAATTGTCGTTGCGCCATATATTTAATGTTTATAAATTATGAATACTAGCAGTAAGCAACCCGTAATACGGGTTATTAGTAATTAAATAATTGCTAACGGTTACCAACAAAAAAACTATGTTAATATCCGTAAAGTTCTTTTTAAGATCTGTTACAACACAGCAGGTACCATAAAAAAAAAGGCAAGTAAAGCCTTCTAATGCCTAAAAAAAGGAACGAAAAATAATTACAAAATATTATTTGCATTTTATTGTTGATAGAATGAAGATATAACAACTTAAAAAAATTGCTGTAATAGCCCAGTTCTATCAACACAAAACACATTAACATAGTAAATAACGTAATAACGTATAACACCACAACTTAAGATATTTTATCAACTAAAATACTTGAGCTAAAAAGATTTTATTGATTACAATATTGAACAATTTTATCATAAAATACCAAGCAGCTCATAAAATTTTTTATATACATGGTCATTATCAATTGTGGCATTAATAAAACTTATATAATTACTTTTTTTTAAACTAAAAAGTAATTATATAAGTTTTATTGATGCTCCATGCACTAACTCTCTTTCAACTCTTATCTAAGAGTAAACAAAATTATTTTTACCTTTATTATGTAAAGCTCCAGCTTTACATAATAAGCTTCTCTTTAACTGTCAACTAATGATTAATAGAGTAAATTTCATATCATTAAATTTACAACATTAAAACCATGTTTCAACAGTAAGCAAACTAATCAAGTGATAACAAAGGCAACTAAAAAAAAAGAACATAATTACGTTTGAATTTATAAAAAAATTTAAAATCATTTAAATTTAAAACTATTTGGTTTAAAGTGTTTTAAAGTGTTTAAAATAAAATCAAATAAACACACATTAACACCGCTTGACATTGAATTCTGGCAAGTAAGTTTTCTGCTCGCCGAGCAGCATTTCTTATATTTCAACAACTTTTTTTTTAATTTTATTTTAAGTGCTCCACGAAGTCCTCAAGGTCTTATCACAGAGCACCGTGGATAAGCATTTAATAGGAAGTTCACGCCTCCTTAAATTTTTATTTTTTCGATAAAAGTTGTCTATCAAAAATAAAAATAAAAATTTATTTACATCATTAAATTGTATTTTAACAAAGAATCTAGACAACAATACATAATCTAAAAGTGTAAAAAATGAAGTAATATCACTCAATATATTTTACTCCAAAGTAATTAAAAAAACTGAAATGAAAATATTAAGTAAAAAAATATGAAAATATTGAGTAAAAAAACATAGCAAACTTACTAAAATCAGTACCAGTTCTACTGCCTAAAAACTTTTATTAACAACCCTTCTAATAGTAATAAAAAAATAACAACAAAGTGATCTGAAGTTACTAAAAATCACTTCACCTATTTTTTTTGTTTAGGTTAATTGTCCAACTAAAAGTCTATAACTATAATACTGAGATAATGTAACGTGATTTTTAATCAATGTAGCACGTTCAGGGTTGTAAACCAATTAATTATGCCAACCAGCATCACCCCTTAGAAGAAAAAAAGAACAAACCATCGGCTCTAATTTGGCAGACATACTTGATATATTTTAAGAGGATGACCTCTTGGGAAAATAACAACTTCACTGGAAGTAGGTGGAGCACTATCTTCACCAAAAAATGCAACTTCATTATGTGAACGGAGATTATAGTGACATCTATCTTGCCCTTTTTCCTCCCTATTTCAGTTCAAAGTATATGCTGCTTGCCTAGCAGGATATCTAGCATTTGGTTGATTATTAATTTCATCCTGCCTCAGCCTATTTCTTGCATTTCTGTGACAACTATTTTCAACTTGCCTAATCACACTGTCCTCATTTTGATTTAAATTATTCGTGGCTTGCCATGCAGCATATCTAGCATTGTGTTGATTATTAATTTCATCCCGCCTCAGCCCATTTCTTGCATTTCTGCGACGATTATTTTCAACTTGCTTAATAACATTTCCATCATTTTCTAAACTAATAGCCACTTCTAGCCTTATATCATCCATTTAAACTTCACTTTTAATTGATAGTAGCAACAAAAAATCTTAAAAGAATCTTGAAGATTGTGATTTTTTTTTTACTTCTCTAAATTGCACTCACACAAAGAATAATTTTTAAAATATTACATAGAAAATTTTCATTTAAAATAAACCAAATTATACAACAATATTGTGAGTTTTTTATAAAAACATTTTTTTAAATATATCCGTTAAAAGATGTTTAAACAAAAAATAAACTTATAAATATAATGTAAATAAAACCGTTAACCAATAGTAATAAAAAAATAATAATAATAAAAAATTTAATGATAAAGGGTACTGTTAATACAAAAAAACGAAGACAAAAAATAAAAAGTAAAGTATTTGTAAACCCCTTTTAGTAAACTTTAATACTATTTCTATAAAAAAATTGTATAAAAAACATGCAAATAATTTAACCTTCACAAACAATGACTGTTCAAAAGTTGTAGTTTAATTCATTTTTCTAAATTCTAAAGAAAAAAAATTTAACAGCATCACTGAAATGCCAACAATATAATAAGCAACATGACAAAGTTTATCAAAGATTAATTATCTGCTTTTTTATTACTTAATCTTTTTTCCAATATTTTATATTATTTATTACACATTAAAATCAGAAGATTAAATTTATTAAAGCTTAACATAAGTTAAAAGCTATAAACACTAAATTATTAAATTCAAAACAATCAAAAGAAATAAAATCTGCTGGAAATCAACTAATAAGTTTAAAATTATAACTTAAAAATATTACAAATTTAAATGTGATTTTTGTTATAATTAATAAATTGCTGCAGTACATTTTTTCAAAAATGATTAACTGATATGGTATATATTCGAAGCAATATAATAGCCATGTAATATTGTGAATCAAAAATTAAAGTAATAAAAACTATAAATAATAATCTAAACAAATACTAAAAAAATAAAAACAAACAATTTAAAATATATATATTTTTTTAATGAAAATAAAAACCAAGGAAAAAACAGCAACAAAAAAATTAATATTAAAAAAGTTAATATCTTCACTGATTGAATATATTAAAAAATTTTTTGTTGCTATTTTTTACTCGGTGCCTCCCAGCACCCCTGTATGGATGAGCCCTCCATTTGAAAGAGGGCTATTCCATACCATTATTACTGCAACATTTGTTAAAGGACCTCTCAGAGTGGTCCTGGGTGCTGGGAGCAATATAGTCTGTAGCTGCTCCAATTTAGATCTAAAGAAAAAATAATAATATAATAAAAAATAGATATTTGCATTAAAAATAATAAAATGAAAACTCCTAATATAGAAAAATTAAAAAAAAAACGTAGTAAAACCCTTTTAAGCAAACTTCAATATTATTTATTTGAAAAAAATATTAGTAAAAATTTTTAAAAAATTCACTAAACTTAA